CTCTCTCTTTTAAAAAAAATTAAAAATAAAATAAAATAAAACACCATCCTCAAAGGGAAGATAGAACGAGATTATGCAATGTAAAATGCTTAGCACATACCCAGGGCTCCATATACATTAGATCATCCTAACAGATGGCTTAAAAATTCTTGTAGTATTATCTCTGTTTGGAAAAACAGTGATTGGCCTTTGCAGGTGGAAGGTGAGACCCAAACCACCAGTTCCCAGTCTTAAGTGTACACAGAATATCCATCAAGCCAGCAGTTCCCAAATACGAGTGTGTTGTATCTCAATATTTTAAAAATATGAGACCTTTTAAAAATGAGACCTAAATGTAAGAGTTAAATTATAAAACTCATACAAGAAAACAAGTAAATCTTGGGGCTGGGGTTGTGGTTCAGTGGGAGAATGCTTGCCTAGCATGTGTGAGGCCCTGGGTTCGATCCTCAGCAACACATAAAAATGAATAAATAAAATAAAGGTATTGTGTTCAACTACAACTAAAAAATAAATATTGAAAAAAAAAACAAGTAAATCTTAATAACTCTGAAATAGGCAATGGTTCCTTAGATACAACACTAAATGTACAGGCAAAAAATGAAGAAATAAATAAATTGGAACTTCATCAAAATTGAAAACTTGGGCTCCAAAGGACAACACTAAAAAATAAGAGTGCACACAGAATGGCAGACAATATCTGCAAATTATATATTAGGACTTATTCAAATATATAAAGAACTCTGACAATTCAGTTGTAAAAAGACAAATACCCAAATGAGCAAAGGATTCTATGAAGAGACCCATCAGCAAACAAAATAAACAAATGACCCATAAACACAGAGAAGAAGGACTGGGGCTGTAGCTCAGTGGTAGAGCGCTTGCCTAGCACATGTGAGGCCCTGGGTTCAATCCTCAGCACTACATAAAAATAAATGAATAAAATAAAGGTATGTCCATCTACAACTAAAAATTAAAAACACATGAAAAGATGTTCAACATCATTGAAAAGTGGCAAAATGCAAATCAAAACCACAAAATATCACTTCATACTCTCTATGATAGGTATAATAAATAATAATATGATAACAAGGAAGTGGAGAAATTGGAATCCTCTTATACTGCATGTAGGACATAAAGTACTATAATTCCTTTGGAAATGGTTTCCAAGTCCCTTAAAATGTTAAACATAGGGGCTGGGGCTGTAGCTCATCGGCAAAGCACTTGGTGGCAATGCACTTGCTAGCATATGTGAGACACTGAGTTCGATCCTAAGCACCATATAAAAAATAAAATAAAGGCATTCATTCTGTCCATCTACAACTTCAAAAAGTTCTATAAAAATTGTTAAACATAGAGCTGGGGATGTGGTTCAATGATACAGCACTCACCTAACATATATGAAGCCTTTGGTTCAATCCCCGGCATTGCCACCTCCTCCCTCCCCCCCCCAAAAAAAAAAAAAAAACTTAAACAGCATTGTCTTATGTTCCAGCAATTCAAGTACTCACTACATATCTGAGAAAAATTAAAACATATGTTAACATAAATGTTGATAGCTTATTTATAAAGCCAAGAAGTACAAATAAACCAAATGTCCATTGTTTTTGCTCATGAACAGATAAACAATATTTATACAATGGTCATAATTAAACAATAAAAAATAATGAAGTACTGATACATGCTACAACATGCATGAAATTTGAAAACATGATGTTAAGTGAAATAAGCCACACACCACTAATTACATGATTTCATTTATGTAAAATGTACAGAATAGACAGATCTATAGAAGAGAAAATAGATTAGTGATTGCCTAAGGCTGGAGGCGGTTAGGGGAATAGAAAATAGGAAATGACTGCTACTGGTTACAGAGGGGTTATTTGGGTTTTTTAGGTACTGAGTCTTGAACCCAGAAGCACTTAACCACTGAGCCACATCCCCAGTCCTTTTATTTTTTATTTTCAGACAGGTCTCACTAAGTTACTTAGGTCCTCTAAATTGCTGAAGCTGGCTTTGAACCTGCAATCCTCCTGTCTTAGCCTCTTGAGCCACTGGGATTACAGGAATAGGTCACCATGCCTGGCCCAGAGTTTCTTTTTGAACTGCTGAATGTATTTTAAAATTAGATCTGGATAGTTAACTTTTTCAGTGAATATACTCAAAAACATTGAATTATGGGCTAGGGATGTGGCTCAAACGGTAGCGCACTCACCTGGCATGCGTGTGGCCTGGGTTCAATCCTCAGCGCCACATACAAACAAAGATGTTGTGTCTGCCGAAAACTAAAATAAATAAATGAATAAATATTAAAAAAAAACAAACATTAAATTATACAACTTAAATTCGTGAATTTTATGATGTGTATTGTATCCTCAATATCATTTTTTAAAAATAGCATCAGAATCACTTGGCAGATGTATTGTTGTTGTTGTCATTTTTATTTTGAGAAGGGGTCTTATTATGTTAACCACAGAACTCCTGGATTCCAGTGATCTTCCAGCCCAGCCTCCCAAGTAGCTGAGTCTATAGGAAAGTGCCACTGTGCTTAGCTGGAAATGGGATTGTTGTTCCTTTTTCTATTTAATTTCCCCTTTTCCTTCCCTC